GTGGTTCCAGATCAGCCCCTGGGGGAAACCATCTGAAGGGCCCAGCCTCCTCCCTCTGGCTTGACTGAGAGACAGAGAAGGGAGGGGTGCTAGAGCGGGCTGGGGAGTATGGGCTGGCCACCTTCCCGGGGTGACCCTGGGCTCTTGTTCTGTCTAAGCTTCTGCTGTTGGCTAGCAAGCATAAAGCTCTGTAAAAATACAAGGCTTTGGGGAAGTGGCGATGGAGCCAAGAGGAAGTGAGCAAACTAATTTCGTGCAACTCTGAAGGCAGCAGCTGAGTCAGGGACGGCCAGCCCCCAGCCGAAGCTGCCGCCTTCCGCCTGCATGACATCCTGTGTCAGCAGCCACCTGCACCGGTCTTAGGGTTCCAGCGTCCTTTCCCTGGCCCTGTTAACACTGCGTCTTGCTGCTATTGCAGGCTGGTTGCTGTGGTCTCTCAGGCTTTTCCTGAGAAGCTGCAAAGAATCAATCGAACCATCTCTGGCCAGCCTCTTAAAATGTTAAGCAGAACTCCAAGGGCAAGATTGCAGTCTTGTGGTTGAGTTGCGTCTAGTCGTGGCAGCCTGAAAAGGCTCCGGGCCAGATGTGGGGACAGGTGAGGCCTTTCTCCAGGACTCCAGTTGCTTTTCCTGCGATTCAGGCCCACGGCTCCTCCCAGATCCTTGCCTCCTCCGTGGAGTTCAGGTTCTTCTAGTAAAACTGAAACCGACATGACCCTTTGTTTGTTGAAAAAATCCCAAGCCACGTTTCACTTATAATGCATTTTATAATTAAAAAGTTCTTTTTGGCACCTTGGTCCAATGAAAGTTTTGGGGGGGCCCAGTGCTCCCTTTGGGGTCTCTGCCCCACCAGTGACCTGCTCTTACAAGTGTCTGTCTGGCTCCTTCATCTTTTCCTAACCCAGAGCTGGGACTGGACCTACATTATACCTGTGCTTTGCTCCTGTGATCTTGGCTGCCTCCTCCTTTTCCAGAGGTGAGGTTAGAACCTATTGCTAACATGGCGGCATCAAATCTAGGGACGCCTCGTACTTGTGAAAGCTTCCTGTGGTTGTTCACATGCTCATTCATTTAGGGAAGGCTGTGGTTCAGGAGCCTGGATTCCAAGGCCAGCCTTGCCACTTCGTCGCTGTGGAGGTCCCCCTACTCCAGAGTTTATAAGATAAACACAGCACGTCGGGGTCCCAGAAGGGGTAGGTGTCTGGGACTCTTTATTTTTTTTCAAGATCTGTTAAGGGTAGAAAATTTTCAAGTGAGCCAACTAGCTAAGTCAGCTACAGGGAAGAAATATCTTTAGATACCAGAAGTCGTCCTACTTGTTTGTGTGTGGTTTAGGAAGTGTATTGTATAAAATATGTAGATGGCCAATGTCTACTTCTGTAATCCATTTACTTGTTAATTAAGGGTGTTGTTTCCGGGCAAAGATATGCTAACAGCCAACTTCCACTTCTGTAATCTGCTGGCTTGTTCAGGAGACCACCAGGATATGGTCTTAAGCTTTATCAGCTGCCTCCTCTGAAAGCTCGGGGCTGATCTCCTCTAGCCCTGCATGGTAGAGAGTCAGTCGCCAGCCGGCTAATAAAGGCTCGTAATTAATCTCAATTGGCTGCGTGGGTCTCAGAATCGTTCGCTCCATAACAGATCCTGTTTGAGAACAGCTTTGAAGGAACAGTGCTTGTTTTCTAGGTGGACACGGAGGAGAAGGGCCTTCCCAGCTGGAAAAGAGCGTCTGGGCCACGGAGTGCTCAGCATCGCGGCTCTGGGGCTTCTAGAGGAACCGGGGGACGGGAGGCTGCAGGGGCTGGGAGACCCCATCCCGAAGGTTCCTTACACCATTCCAAGGAGTCTGGACTTGATTCTGGGGGCAACACGGAGGCTTTGAGGGTGCGGAGTGGGGAGACTGGCATCTGGAGTTGGGTTAGTTGGTTAAGGTGGTTGCTGCATTCTCCATGAGAGGTAATAAGGGAAGTTACGTAACCAAGCAGGGCTGTCGGCCATCGCGGGAGAAAGTAGGCCAGGTGACTGTACTCTGG